AAGGAAAGGGGTTACATCATGAAAATTTGCAAAAATCGGCCAAAAATTCACATTTTAAATTGAGTATGCAGTTTTGTTAACCTGCTAAAAATTAACGTACTGCCGCTTTCCGAATTGAAATTAATGCGTTTTTGGCTTAGTTATGAAATTTTTAAATTTTGATTTGTCGAAAATTTCATATAAAAATATTGTTAATTTCGGTATAAAAATGGTAATGGACCTTCAGTTAGAAGCTTAAAAATAAGTGAAGGAGCCATTTCCGACCCCACAAATCATATATATTCTTGATCAGCATCTACAGGCCTTTCTTTCTAGCTTTATCCGGCCGAAAAAAATTTTTTCAGAAATTTCCCATTTTTCGGAAAAAAGGAAAGGGGTTACATCATGAAAAGTTGCAAAATCGGCAAAAATTCACATTTTAAATTGAGTATGCAGTTTTGTTAACCTGCTAAAAATTAACGTACTGCCGCTTTCCGAATTGAAATTAATTTGTTTTTGGCTTAGTTATGAAATTTTTAAATTTTGATTTGTCGAAAAATTTCATATAAAATATTGTTAATTTCGGTATAAAAATGGTAATGGACCTTCAGTTAGAAGCTTAAAAATAAGTGAAGGAGCCATTTCCGACCCCACAAATCATATATATTCTTGATCAGCATCTACAGGCCTTTCTTTCTAGCTTTATCCGGCCGAAAAAAAATTTTTCAGAAATTTCCCATTTTTCGGAAGAAAGGAAAGGGGTTACATCATGAAAATTTGCAAAAATCGGCCAAAAATTCACATTTTAAATTGAGTATGCAGTTTTGTTAACCTGCTAAAAATTAACATACTGCCGCTTTCCGAATTGAAATTAATGAGTTTTTAGCTGAGTTATGAAATTTTTAAATTTTGATTTGTCGAAAATTTCATATAAAAAAATATTGTTAATTTCGGTATAAAAATGGTAATGGACCTTCAGTTAGAAGCTTAAAAATAAGTGAAGGAGCCATTTCCGACCCCACAAATCATATATATTCTTGATCAGCATCTACAGGCCTTTCTTTCTAGCTTTATCCGGCCGAAAAAAATTTTTTTCAGAAATTTCCCATTTTTTCGGAAAAAAGGAAAGGGGTTACATCATGAAAATTTGCAAAAATCGGCCAAAAATTCACATTTTAAATTGAGTATGCAGTTTTGTTAACCTGCTAAAAATTAACGTACTGCCGCTTTCCGAATTGAAATTAATGCGTTTTTGGCTTAGTTATGAAATTTTTAAATTTTGATTTGTCGAAAAATTTCATATAAAAATATTGTTAATTTCGGTATAAAAATGGTAATGGACCTTCAGTTAGAAGCTTAAAAATAAGTGAAGGAGCCATTTCCGACCCCACAAATCATATATATTCTTGATCAGCATCTACAGGCCTTTCTTTCTAGCTTTATCCGGCCGAAAAAAAATTTTTTCAGAAATTTCCCATTTTTCGGAAAAAAGGAAAGGGGTTACATCATGAAAAGTTGCAAAAATCGGCAAAAATTCACATTTTAAATTGAGTATGCAGTTTTGTTAACCTGCTAAAAATTAACGTACTGCCGCTTTCCGAATTGAAATTAATTTGTTTTTGGCTTAGTTATGAAATTTTTAAATTTTGATTTGTCGAAAAATTTCATATAAAAATATTGTTAATTTCGGTATAAAAATGGTAATGGACCTTCAGTTAGAAGCTTAAAAATAAGTGAAGGAGCCATTTCCGACCCCACAAATCATATATATTCTTGATCAGCATCTACAGGCCTTTCTTTCTAGCTTTATCCGGCCGAAAAAAAATTTTTCAGAAATTTCCCATTTTTCGGAAGAAAGGAAAGGGGTTACATCATGAAAATTTGCAAAAATCGGCCAAAAATTCACATTTTAAATTGAGTATGCAGTTTTGTTAACCTGCTAAAAATTAACATACTGCCGCTTTCCGAATTGAAATTAATGAGTTTTTAGCTGAGTTATGAAATTTTTAAATTTTGATTTGTCGAAAAATTTCATATAAAAAAATATTGTTAATTTCGGTATAAAAATGGTAATGGACCTTCAGTTAGAAGCTTAAAAATAAGTGAAGGAGCCATTTCCGACCCCACAAATCATATATATTCTTGATCAGCATCTACAGGCCTTTCTTTCTAGCTTTATCCGGCCGAAAAAAATTTTTTTCAGAAATTTCCCATTTTTTCGGAAAAAAGGAAAGGGGTTACATCATGAAAATTTGCAAAAATCGGCCAAAAATTCACATTTTAAATTGAGTATGCAGTTTTGTTAACCTGCTAAAAATTAACGTACTGCCGCTTTCCGAATTGAAATTAATGCGTTTTTGGCTTAGTTATGAAATTTTTAAATTTTGATTTGTCGAAAATTTCATATAAAATATTGTTAATTTCGGTATAAAAATGGTAATGGACCTTCAGTTAGAAGCTTAAAAATAAGTGAAGGAGCCATTTCCGACCCCACAAATCATATATATTCTTGATCAGCATCTACAGGCCTTTCTTTCTAGCTTTATCCGGCCGAAAAAAATTTTTTTCAGAAATTTCCCAGTTTTCGGAAAAAAGGAAAGGGGTTACATCATGAAAATTTGCAAAAATCGGCCAAAATTCACATTTTAAATTGAGTATGCAGTTTTGTTAACCTGCTAAAAATTAACGTACTGCCGCTTTCCGAATTGAAATTAATGCGTTTTTGGCTTAGTTATGAAATTTTTAAATTTTGATTTGTCGAAAATTTCATATAAAAATATTGTTAATTTCGGGATAAAAATGGTAATGGACCTTCAGTTAGAAGCTTAAAAATAAGTGAAGGAGCCATTTCCGACCCCACAAATCATATATATTCTTGATCAGCATCTACAGGCCTTTCTTTCTAGCTTTATCCGGCCGAAAAAAAATTTTCAGAAATTTCCCATTTTTGTAAAAAACGGAAAGGGGTTACATCATGAAAATTTGCAAAAATCGGCCAAAAATTCACATTTTAAGTTGAGTATGCAGTTTTGTTAACCTGCTCAAAACTAGCACAGAACTGGCTTCCGAATCGATATTAATGCATTTTTGGATTAGTTATGCGTTTTTTAAGCTTTGGTTTATGTAAAAAATTGTCTTACAAATATAAATAAAGACTGACAAAAATACTAATAAACAGGGTATTTTCATTTCAGTCTGAAGCTTGAAACGTTGTGGAAGAGTCATTTCCGACCCTATAAACTATATATATTCTTGATCAGCACAAACAGGCGGATCTTTCTGGGTATAAAAAAGAGAAACTAATTTTTTGGCCATTTTTTAGAAAAATTACAAGGGGTTACATCGTTAAAATTTGATAATAATTTCAATTTTTTTACATTTTAAACTGAGTATGCAGATTTGTTAACCTGCTCAAAACTAGCACAGAACTGGCTTCCGTATCGATATTAATGCATTTTTGGATTAGTTATACGTTTTTAAGCTTTGGTTTATGTAAAAAATTGTCTTAAAATATTAATAAATATTGACAAAAAATATTGCGAAAGATATATAACTCAATCGCTCACTGAAAGGGTACATGTATGAATTTCGGCACTCCAATGTTAGTTTCTTTTCCTGTTTGTTTTATGATAGGATAAAAGTGTTTCCGGGTATACCAGATTCCCTGGAAAACCAGTAGAAAAATTTAAAAACCATTGTTTTTTATGCTTGATTAATATACGATTACAGTTTATTGTTCAATGTTTTGTAGTTTGTATATCTAAATGGATGGATAACTGCCGATATGTCGGGCGATCATCAATCATCCGCACAAAAAAACATTAAATATCATATGTGCTTCTTGTATCGTGCATTTAGCATTTAGAATTTAGCATTTAACGTTTAACATTATACGGATTAAATACTTATTCCACATTGGGTTGTGTTGAGTGTAAGTTGCATACATATATGTATATGTTATAGGGGTAGAGAATATCTATATGGATAGACGAGTAAGAGAAGAAGCTGCTCAAATCCTTCAGCTCCATGACAATACGATCCCAAACAACAGCAACATTTAACTGGCTAAGTTAACAGTGATTACGTTTTCCTTTACGTTTATGTTTACGGATACAGTTCCAATTTTTGGCTAATACGATACGGATATAACAATATATATTTATATATGTAGATACCGAAGTGGCTGATGATACTTAGTATTGGTGATATTCTTAGTTTTTTTAGGGATCCAAAGTGTCCTTCTTGCAGGCAGGAGCTTTCCTTGCGCCGTGTGCTCCAATTTCCGAAGGTTTTTAGGTGGATCCGTCGAACCGCCGGCTCCGAGGCTAACCGGAAGCGGACCGCCTTGCGCTGCGGGCGTAAACTCCTCAACTGACAGCTCCGCAGGATGCTGGAGGCGGCTTTTATAGCGCAGGACACTCTAACTTGAAGCCACAGATGGCCAATTTTACACCCTGATGGCCATCTAAGACGTTTCAGTAGGAGTATCCATTTCATTTATTCGGTTTGGTCCTTTGTTCACTGCACTCTAATATGATTTTGATTGAATTGCGCTTATCGCAGTTGTGCACTCGCAAAGGACATGTTGCTGACGTCACAGAGGAAATGAGCTTAACGAGCTACAGCAAATCGATTTCTTACTTCGATTGGTTTTATTTTTATTTTTACTTTATTTCACTCTACTCTACTTTACTTTACTTCACTTCACTTCGCTTTATTTTATTTTATCTTATTTATGGCTTATGTACAAGACGTTCCTCTAGTGACGTCACAGGACTGGAAAATTTCATTCATCTGGCGACCGCGCATTAGGCTCACACTCGAATGGACGGCAGAGTCTGCGCCTTTCTCGAACTGGGATGAACTTGAACACTGTGGTGCAGTGGTGCACATGTGCGATAAGCGAAATTCAATCAATCAGCAGAAAATTGCGAGCAGGAAGTGTCGTCGGTTGTCGTCCTCGTAGTGGGCTATAAAAGCCTTGGCCTTCCGTTGACCAAGTCATTCTAGCTGCGAAGCCTGCTGGTGAGACAGCAGCGGACTGAATCTAGGAGCGGTTTTCTGTACCTGAAGTCAACGTCACCTAAACCACCGAAGAAGATGAGGCTCCGGCTCAGCGTCCTGTTCCTTCTGCTCCACATTGGCTGTCTGTCTTTAGCATTCGCCAGTAGCAGGCTCTCTGGCGACACCCGCAGTTCCAGCTGCGATGGCCGCCGCTCGGATGTCCATCACCGTCTAGATGAGTACGACGAACATATGGTCTATAGACAGGCCACGGAGGAGACCTTGAGCAGGGTCCACCCATTGCAGTCACTCGCCCGTGATGATCGTCGAAGCGAGAGGAGCGAGGAAACGAGGGTCCGGTTGGCAAATTCTCCAAGGGAGAAGGAACCTCGTCACGCTCGTGAAGACCGGGAAAATCTTCGTGAAGCTCGTAAAGTACGAGATGAACGTCGTGATGCTCGTGAAGTACGAGATGAACGTCGTGATGCTCGTGAAGTACGAGATGAACGTCGTGAAGCTCGAGAGGAACGACGTCAACCTCGTGAAACTGCTGAGGAACGTCGTGAAGCTCGGCAAGAACGGGATCAACGTCGTGAAACTCGTGAGGTCCGCAATGAACGTGTTGAAGGTCGACAGGAACGTCGTCAAGCCCATGAAACTTTTGAGGAACGTCGTGAAAATCGTGATGAACGATCGGATCAACGTGAGTTACGAGATGAACGTCGTGAAACACGTAAGGCAGGGCTTAATCGTCGTGAAGCTCATGAGGAAAGGGATAACAGTCGGGATGGACGGGAAGTGCCTGCCGAACGGCGTGAAGCTCGTGAAGAGCGATCAGAGAACCAGTTAGCTCGAGAGGACCGAACAGAACGACAATCGGAACGAGACACAACCATGCGGCAGGAGAATAATCGATTTGATACAGTCAATGAAAGGCGTGAGGCTCGAGAAAACCAAGAACGGTTGGAAAGGGAATCGGATCGGCAAGTACGTGACAATCAAGAACGTCGTGACGATCGATTGTCTTTCAGCCGCGAAGCGCGTGAGATTCGGCAGCGTTTTGATGACCGATCTGTGGATGATGTAAGGGCCCAGGGAGACATTTCTCAACGAATCCGAATGGAAGAACACGATAATAATCGACGTGCAAATCTCCGCCAAGAGGACCGTGCTAATCATCGCAGGGAAGAACAAGATTTGGCTCGGAATGAGGAGAATCGAAGGATGGACGAAGGCGCAGATATGCCACGGGATAACCGATTGTCATTGCGTCGAGTGGAGCGAAACGAAATTCGTCGAGAGGATCGTGAAGAACGTGAGCGACTCGAGGTTGAACCCATGAATCGACTGGATAAGCGTGGCGACTTGAGAGAGGCACGCAATGTTGATAGAATTGAACGTAGTTATTCTAGAAGAGAAGACCAGCGAATGGAACAAGAAAACCTGAGGAGAGAAGAACGAGAAAATTCACGACGCGTACAGGAAGACATTGTGCGAAGTGAAGAGCGAGAAGTTCGGAGGAATGTGGAACGAGATAATCTCCGAGAGGATAGGGCTTCCATTCGTCAAATAGAGCGCGATAATATCCGCCGAGAGGTTCGAGATGAGCGAGAGGATCTGGCCAGAAAGGAGCGAACCGAAGGTCGTCGAGTAGACCGATATAATCTGCGCAGTGATGATCGAGACGAAGACCGTAGCGAGGAGCGAGAGAATCTACGCAGGGAAGAGCGAGGGGTAAGCCGAGAGAATCTCCAGAGGCAAGCGGTTAATTCACTCCGTCGGATCGATCAAGCAGATCGTCGCAGGGAAGAGCGAGAAGATCAGCGAGAAAATCAGAGGAGAGAAAGCCTGAGGAGGGATCTTATGAGACAAGAACGAGAAGTTCAGAGCCGCGCTGAACGAGAGCAAGAGCGAGTCCGTCAAATGTCCGGAGTTACCAGCTTGGAGCACGATATTCCCCAGATTAAAGCCAAGGGCTGGCTGAGCTATGGCAAGCGGGAAATACTGATGACCAGCCAAATCCTGCTCCTGGCCGCACTCTACAAAAAATCCACGGCCAACGGCAAGGGACTCGGGTAAGTTGAAATCACTACCAGGACAAAGGAGAAACCCAAGAACTAATATTGCCTTCCTTCCAGCAATGCTCTAAACGAACAGATCCAGGGCTACCTGCAGGCCATCGGCTGCTAAACTGGACGAGAAGAGGAGAAGGAGGATTAGCCGCGAAAGGAGACCCAGAACGGAGATGGATACGGACACGGATCAAGGAACATGGCACGGAATGCACCAACGGAAAATGCAAAAGGACCCGGAAAACCCGAAGTGAGAGAGCGAGCGGTGAGAATGGGAGAGGATGCGGATGCGGATGCTAATGCGGATGTGGCGCAGTCGAGGAGTGGAGGCATCATCTCGCCCTGGCATAGTACAATTTAATCCAACTGTTACTGTAACCTAAACCCCTTTCTGTTAGCCAAAACAAGAGCATAACGATAATATATATCTGCAACTGCATGGCGAGCCGTGAGTTTCGATTTCCCACAGTTTCCAGATTCCCGGCCCTGCGGTCGATGTGGCCCCTCGGATAATTGGAGCGTTTCGCAGTCAAGAGACCGCAGCTGTCCACTCACATGCCTGGGCATCCTTATATCCTTGCATCCTTGAGCTGCCAGAATACCGCCCACAAAGCCACCACCAGTACGAGAGTACGTTGCTCACTTGGTGCCCAACAGAAGCAGCAGGAGCAGCTCCTTTTGGATGCCAGAGAAACCAACCCAAACTCACCTAACCCCATCCAACCCAACCGAAACCGAACCGAAACCGAAGCTGAAAGGCAAAATTATTATTGCGATTTTCCATGCCGTTTGCCTTCGTCCTTGCAGCTTCTCCTGCTCCTGCTCCTCCTGCTCCCTCTTCTATGTGTGAGTGTGTATCGAGGCTGATAAATTTCGCACATATTAGATGTTGGTCTGGTCTATTCATCTTTTTGGCTTTCAAGAGATTTCCCCTGATGGTGGGGGCCGGCCGGAATGGCGGCAGTTTCAGACCAGTTTCTGTTAAGTTTTTCCAGGGGGAGCAGGGACCGACAACCAGCCAGTAAGCCATCCTTAATCAGTGAAACCAACACACAAATTTTACACAATTTTCATCTTTTGGGGATTATTCAGATGGGTGTGTGTGTGTGTGCCCTTTTCCTGGAGTGGAATGGAATGGAAGTGGGACTGTAACTGGTATTGGTCCTGGTGCTGGTACTGCTACTGGCAGGACCTCCTCCTTGTCTGAGCTGGATCCGAGTCGCCTTAGTTACTCTTCGGCAAACAAAAACAGAAACAGAAACAGAAACCGAAACAGAGACGAGCCTGTGCTTCTCCCATTTCGACTCAACATACATAGATAGGAATCAAGGAGTTTTGATACTTGAATGTCCAGAATTATGCAGCTTCGGTTTTAAGTTTAATTTAAAACATAATTATTTGGGGCAAGACTCTCAACCTTATTGTATCAGTTATTATTTCGAGTTTTTTCACTCATTATAACTAAATATTTCCATTCCCTATTTGTTTCTCTCTTTTATACCCAAAAAGATTTGCCTGTTGATGCTGATCTAAAATATTTATGATTTATAGGGTCGGAAATGACTCCTTTACCAGTTTTCAAGTTCCTGATTAAAAGGGTATAATTACACCTGTACGTATACGTAATTTTTAGGGACTTTTTGTAGTTTGAAATAAACTTGAAACCAGAATGGAAGCTAACTTCGGGTACATCGAAGTTTTTATTCTCCATTTGATCATAAAGAATTAATATTATTTAAAAGAAATGTGGATGCTGTATACTTTATATGGTCGAACTAAAATTATAACACCATGAAAAGGGTATAAAAAAAGTTGGAAAATCCTGTGGATCTCCATCTCTGCTCTGACTGAGTTTATTCATGGTGATTTTCATGAAGGATTTAAATTCAATGCGATTTCTTCTTTTATTTATTTTTCTGTTATTTTTTTCTTTTTACTTTCCTTTATTTGGCCACGGAAGTGTGAAATATCAATACGCAATGTTCCCACATAATGCACACACACACACACTCGCACACACACAGATTCCAGTGGCGTGCATAAAGGGGACACTGAAAGCAGAGAGAGAATGCCACAAAAGGGCAATAAACCAACAAGAAAACATCATAAAAAATTGAGTTTTCAATATTTATGCGAATTAAATAATTCACGCCAAGACCAGGCCACCGATGCACACACACACACACACACACACACACCTTTGGGGACGCCCACAAGGATACATATATGTATAGGCCCATACACACAGATACTCAGTGAAACAGTGTTGAGCAGAAATTTAAAATAAAACAATGTTTATATTAAATTTATTAAAATATTTGCAAATTGAATAGTTATATAAAATACTATACCCGAAATAGCTTTATGTTAGAACCTTGAAATCTATCTTTTTCAAGGTTCTAAAGCTATTTCGGGTATAGTATTTTATATAACTATCTCTTTCATGGATAGCTCTTTCAAGGCTACAAGTATTTATCAATGTTTATAAATATTTCTCTAGAATATATATATATTCAAAAACATATATATTTTTACCCATCTCTAGCTAGACAAAGCGAAAGGGCTCTCTGATAAAAAAGAACTTCCCACTGCAAACTCTTCTCCTTCTCTGAAATTTTCCAGCAGGATGGCAAATGCGGTTTATAGGGACGAAGGGACGAAGGAGCAATGGATCTGGGCATTCTACGAGTATTTGAGGTTTATTTTATGCCCCCACACACCACACACAAGCACACACACCCCGTAATGCAAAAAAACAACATAAATTTTGTGTAAGAAATCATAAATTTCAATAAAATAAAAGCAACGAAGCGCCAAATAAATACGTGAGGGGATGGAAGTCGTGGGTAAGGGGGTTTTTTTTCCAAAAGGGGCATAACATTTCACACATACTATTAGGAAAATAATGGAACATTGGAAAAAATTGTAGAAAATGTTAAAATATTAACTAAATGAGAGAATTTACAAAAGAAGATAAACAGAACCCCTAAAATGTATTAAAGTCATTAAGCAATGAAAAATATAAAAGGGTATATACTGATTTAATTGATTAATCAGTTAGAAAATACTTAAAATATATATTTAGTATATAATTATTCCCCCAAAACATAAAATGGTCTTATCAAAATTTTAATTGTTACCTGGGAACCTATGAAAATACCTACTAGTTTCCCTACAAAAGTATTTATTTTCATTACAAATGTGACAATTATAAATTTAGAAACCTTAGTGCTAGAATTTTGCCCTCTACTGTAGGTTCTATGTTGGCTGCACGCTTCACTTGGCTAAGTAGAAGCAACAGCCAAGTGCAAAATATATTTATACATATATTTCCTTTAAAACGCGGCAAGGCGAGAAAAACAAAATAAAGCGATGTACAAGTCCTTGGACTAGTCTGTGTGTGTGTGTGTTTTGCATAATTTAATGTATGACTTGAGAGGGGGAACCAGAGGGGAAGGGAAAGGGGAGAGCCTTGGCCCCCTCCGCCATAAAGTGGCCACCAAGGGGGGCAAGGGCAGCCGCAGGATGCTTTCTATCAAGGTAACGGCCGAAAATTGAGAAATATTTCATGAGGCCAACGCGGCGAAATGTGTGAGTTGCAACACACACACACTCTGGGTTTTCCCCTCCTTTTTATACTAAATTTTCCTTGGCTTTTTCTCCCTTTCTTTGCCATTTGCCAGCAATTTTTATAAATTATCAATTTCACTCGCCCCACCAGAAAGGCTAAAAAGCAAGGCAGCAGCAGCAGCAGCATCGCCGGGAAATAAATAAATGCAATAAGTGAAGGCAAATGGAAAATTGTGAAATTGGGGAAAATTGGAAAAACCGCAGAAATTGCAATCGAAAATCCCCGCCACAAGTTTTGCCATTAAATGTCAATCGAAACGGGCGACCCCCGAGCGAAATGTGCAGTTAAATAAAAATCAAAGCGGTTTACGTTATCAGCCAGCGTTTTCCACAAAAAAAAGAAAGAGAAAACCGGAGGCAAAGAGAGAAGAACTTGCGTTGACAGAATTTTCCTACACTTTTCTGATTTTCCCTCAGCCTGCGGAGGGGTGAGAACTGCATCTGCATTTGGTTGGGCTGGGCGAATGCGAAATTGGTTTATGCAACAGACTTTTATGGTGCAGATCAGGAGACGAGGCGAATGAGAGCGAGCGCCGAGCATTTGCCAAATGCCAAACTCAGAGTGACGGAGCCTGGGATTTTCCAAATGTGTCAGGTTTTCAGCTAAGCACTGAGAGAAATCGAAGGGAAACTACTTTATTTCATTGGAATATTGATTATAACTCAGACAAATCAGCATATTGAATCTAAAATGAATACCCTCCAAAGGTATACAAATGGAAGAGAATATCTAAAACATTTCGAACGAATTTCTTCCAGTGTAAAACGGCTTAGTGATCCAGGGGGGGCTCACCGTTGGCGGGGGCAATGCCAGCATCAATCGCAGTTGTGCAAATAAATTTGCCGTTCACGTACATGAAAGCCGCTTGCACAAGTATGCAATCATCCTCAAATATTGTCCCAATCCCAATTGCAGCCCGTCTCCTGGATGTCCTGGATGTCCTGGCTGCCTGGATACCGCTGCAATTGAGGACTCGGATTCGAATTCGGATTCCGATTTGGATTTGGATTTGACTCTGGATAGGCGCAGGAGGGAGGCGCAGTTGCCTTTCACCTGTGCAATGTGCAATGGCCACAGAATATATAGCAATGATGACATTGCTCTGTGAGCCGAGTTTTATGGGATTTTAGATATTTATATGTAGATTGCAAGTGGCATCGAAATGGATCCTCCGCATGCTCCTTCTGCCGCTCTCATCTGTGCCCAGCGGAGCATAAAAAATTGCTGCACTCAGGGACGAGGCAGCAAAGGTTTGGGGCGTTGCTGCCACGGAGGAGGCGTTGCACCCTAAACGATGGCAGGCAAAGTCAATTTAGTGAAAATGCGAGGCAGCAAGTGAAATGTCATAGCAACAGCCAGCCAGTCCACCTCCACCATATATACAGATATATATCCAAGCATTTTCCGATCCACTTTTCCACTTCCTCCGCACTCAGCCATGAGGAGCAGCAGGAGCAGCTGTCATTGTCAGTGGGCCCCATGCTGTGTCCTTCGCAAGTTCCACTGTTTGTTGTTGCCTTTAAGAAGGACTCTCTCTCTCTGTCTATCCCAAATAAAGGAAAACCCCACTGAAAGCAAAATTTATAGAGAATATATCGGAAAGGACTCCTTCACCATCAAGTTCCTGATTAAAAGGGTATAATTACACCTGAGCGTATACGTAATTTTTTGTGTGGCACACCTGTGCGTATACGTAATTTTTAGAAATATAATGTAACACAAAAAGAAATCTAATTGCATCGCTAAGAATCAATCTAATTTTGTCAAATGAAAAGAT